AACCACGACATGGCGCGTCCCTGAGGGGGAGACGACCCGGCCCTTGCCCATTTGACACCATACCCGGGTTCCGATATGGCGCCCCAACGAATATCTATTGTGTTTCATCTCCATAGAATGGCTAAGTTTTACGTTGGCTCGCCAAGCCTATCACAACCCTCCTCCTCCTTCATACTAAATATATAATAATATATATTTATAAAAGATTTTAATTTTCAACTATTTTTCTCATTAATTTTAGATTTTTAAGAAAAAATTAGCAAGCACTCGTGTAATACATGAGCGTTGTACTAGTAAAAGAAAAAGAAAATTAAAAAAAATATGACCGTTGATTACCATTAGATTTTTGGACCGGTGATTCGATCTCTTTTGACCACGAGTTTGACTTGGGTCAAGAACTGACTCGACCTGGCGTGAATATATATATAAAAAAAAAAAAGGGCGGGCCTGCGGCCCGACTCTGGCACGACCCGTGTGGTCATATGTTACAATTACATATATATGACCCTAAGCCGTCCCGATGTATATCTGGGTCCCGAACCCATGGTCAACAAGTTGTACCGGCTCTATTCGTGCCGATTTTAAGCCGGGTCTAGGCTGGGTCGACGGGTGGAGTGACTCTGTGGTCATGTCTAGATTATGTATTTGATTTTTTAATAAACAAAAACACCATCCTATTTTTCCTTGTTAAAATATTTCAAGCACTAAAAACTACTACTCTTTCCGCTAACAGAGAATACTGCGGGAGGGAGATCGATGGAGGATGACGTCGAGATGGCGGCGGCGGAGAGCGGAGCCGCGGTTGTAATGCGTCGTTATTTTCACTTCCTATAACTCATCTTTTAACAGTCTTCGATTTAATTTTATTTTTGCCCCACCATCGAAAACCCTAATCCGTTTATGTTAACCTATGTTTATGCATCTCTGCAGGAGCTAGACGACATGAAGAAGAGGCTCAAGGAGATGGAGGATGAAGCTGCAGCTCTTCGGGAAATGCAGGCAAAGGTCGAACAGGAGATGGGCGCCGCCCAAGGTTACCCCCTCTTCCCGCTCTAGCCCCCGAGGTTTTACCCTTGGATATATATATTTATTTTTTTTTTGTGTTATCTTGATCGACAATAATATATCGGTGTGGAAATTCAATGGGGAAACAATGGCGTGTAGTGTGAGAGACAATGTAATTGTTTAGTGATTAGGATTTGCGAGACAATGTAATTGTTTAGTGATTAGGATTTGCGCTGTTAATCCTAATATGATCTGCATCTTTCTGTGATTTCTTACCTATGCCGAGTTTGAATTTCTTTTGGAAGCTTGGTTATAGAAACTTTAGAAGGGCAAATTTTCTTGTCTATAGATTTAAGGAGAATTGTTTTTACCAGTATCAAATGACTTGTTGATCAACTGTTTAAAGATTGGGTGCGACTTGGTAAAAAAAATTCTATTTTTCCATGTGAAGCCACGAGGAAGAGGAAAAGTAAGGAAGAAAGTTTGTAGCTGGGTGCATGTATAGAGCTGGTTTTTATGAGTAGCTAAACATTCATATTGAGCCCAAATTTTTCCTAGAAGGTTAATTCTGTTGAAATTCTTTTGTTATGCTTTTATGAGTTTCAACAAGGTTGCCCTATAATTTGTAATATTTTGGAATTTCTATCCGGAAGGGGATTTCATTTTTGGTAATGTAGCTGTATATTGTAATGTGGTTTGATGATTGATGAATAATGCTGACCTCTCTTTGCACTTTATTGAATTTGACCTCAAACTACTACTGCCCCTCTCGCTGTAAAATGAGTAGAGCATCATTCTGACCATCTGAGTGTGTATGTTTTCTCTTATTTGTGGATAGCAAGATTGAGATATGAGATGGTAGTAATATCCAACACTTTTGATTCTATTGATGCATCCTCGAGACTATGTCTAAAAAGAAGTGTTCTGTAATTCTGTGTTGTGACAATTATCTACTGCTTCCCGTTCATCTATATTGATCAGATGTTTGTTTCAATTCCAGCAGATCCTGCTGCTGCTGCAGCTAGTCAGACAAACAAGGAAGAAGTGGATTCTCGGTCAGTCTTCGTTGGCAATGTAAGTTCCGTCCTTGTTCATGATCTGTCAGAGAGGACTTTTTCCTTTGGTACTCAGTTATCTGTCACCGGATAGGTGATCCTTTCAAAAGAATTATCTTTCATCTCTCTTGGTGTTACTTGCTATTTTTGTTTGTGGACACATAAATGTTTTCTAATTTCCTGATTTTTTGATGGTTATCGAAGGAATGTGGTCAAACTCGTGAACAATGTTACGATGCATCTGTAGTTTTTCTTCCTCCAGGAAAAAAAAAGAAGATTGATGGTACTATCTGGGTTGTATGTTTGTTATATATATGCGTTGACGTGGCGTCTGATGGTCAAGCGTGCATGTGCATATGTTATCTGGGATCCTTGCTTCTTTTTTTGTGTAATATATATTTGGTCATCTGTAAATGACAATACAATGCTTAAATGCTTACAATTGGATATGGAGATTTGGAATCATGTGAAATACTATTTCTTGGCTTTACAGGTGGACTATTCGTGTACCCCAGAGGAAGTGCAGCAGCATTTTCAGTCTTGTGGGACAGTGAATAGAGTAACTATTAGGACTAACAAGTATGGTCAACCAAAGGGATATGCATATGTTGAGTTCCTTGAAACCGAAGCCGTTGATCAGGCTTTGCTTCTCAATGAGTCCGAACTTCATGGACGCCAACTGAAGGTTGAGTTAAATCTTGTTACGTTTTTTATTTTTTTTATTTTGTTTTTATTTTGGTGGAGCAACTGAAATCCTACTTAATTATGTAATTCCTCGCATCGATGATGGAAGTTACTTATTATCTATATTCTCTGGTTTATTTAAAAGAATGTATTAAAAAAATAATTTTTTTGCAGGTATCTGCCAAGAGGACCAATGTTCCTGGCATGAAACAGTTTCGGCCTCGGCGTGCAAATCCCTATATGGGCTTCCGGGCTAGAACTCCGTTCCTAGCTGCTCCTTACATGTATTCTCCATACGGATATGGGTATGTATTCGTCCTTTTGCGCCTTTTTACTCAGCAAAGGTTGATCCCTATTCTCGGGATATCGCAAAAGCTACCCTTTGAGGTTGGCCTAATTTCAGATAAAACTTAACTTTGAATTAACAGAGACCCCCTTGAGGTTTTGTATACATATAAGGATTGGATATTTAATACTTTCTGTATTTTCCAAATTAAGTGGCTTCATTTTGCTAGTTCCTCGACTTCGAGCAATTCTGTGGTTATCCTTCTTTTTAATAGCACAACACAAAACCCTTGAAATTGCAGCGATTGGTTATAAGAATTTCCCCTTTTTGTTTTGTTGATCAAGATTTTTTCTCACTGAAAATGTAAACATTAAAAAAATATATATATAGAGACAAAAAATTGTCTTCTAAATTTTTCTCTAAAAGAATTGTCTTTTGAATAGAGATAAAATGGTGGATTCTTTTTTTCCCCAAAAATAATAGATAATTGAGATAGGGAAAATGTGAGATAGAAATGTAATAATTAAAGTTGATGTGATTTACAAATATTAAAATATTGGTTGATTGTGATTTATGGTTAGAAGTATGCGAGCGTGTGAATAATGTTTCTTGTTGGAAAATATTGTGTATTTTTTTAGTTTTGTTAGTGGGATTGTGGAGAAACAAACATAATGAAACTGAAATTTTTTGTTTCTGACTCGCGATTTAATAAGATAAATCTTTACTGACCAGCAGTGTTATTAATGATGGATGGCTGTAGGCCAAACTCGGCAGCCTATGGCACCGCCATAACCGGCCATCCTTCACAAATTTAGTTGGCTGAAATCTGCCATGCCATGGTTGCCATTTAATAACATGTGAACAATAATGAAGCATTTTCCATATTCAATCGCTTACTTCACCCTTTTACTATTTATTCCGTCGCAAGTTTTTCTTTACTATCCTACTAACACAATTTAAAAATAAAAGACCGTCATTGTTTTACATTTTTCAACAGAAAACACTCTTTACCACTTTACCACTCACATATTTCTAACTATTCATTTTTATCAATCAACATTTTATAATTTTTTAATTACATTGTTGTAAGATATTATTATTATTATTATTATATCCCATTACTCTGATTATTACATTTTTATAGTATGACCTTTCACAATCTCAAAAACTATTTCACGTTTTTCCATTTTTTTTCACTTTTCCATTTTTGTTTTCTGAACGAGAAAAAATTTCGGGAACTTCCTATATATAATTGCAATCAAAGACTCCCTCTTTTGTCTCTGTTGGTTTCATTACTTTTGGACTCACTTTATTATTATTATTATTATTATTATTATTATTATTATTATTATTATTATTATTATTATTATTATTATTATTATTATTATTATTTATGAATGTCTGTTGTACCGGTGCAGGAAGGTTCCGAGGTTTAGAGCACCCATGCGTTACAGTCCTTACTTTTGAGCTTCTGAAATGTGCTCAAGGCCTCATGCTCCACCTGCTAGATTATGTAGTCTATCATTTGAATACTTGTCATTCCGTATGATGTTTATTGCATGTTATGCGTGGTAATGAAACTTGAAGTGAACACATTTTCTTAAATTTTGTGATTTTAAATTTATATTGATTGCCTTGTGTTATAAAGGGAATAATTTACCTTGATTGTGGTTAGTTATGTCACTTTGGGAGGCACTTGAGTTCAAGTGACCATTGAAGACTTGAAAACTTATTATGAGTTCAAGATGATAAATGATGATTTGAAATCCAGTTTTTTGGAGTATGATCAGTATTCTTTTTGGTTTTTGATAGTTCGACATATGAATTACAGCAGAAAATTCTGGATTTATTAGACATTTCTGGGGCGTGCACAATTCATGACTTACATGAACGCTTCGCGCATAATCAGTAACTCCGAAGATTGGATACATGGATGATAAGGGTTTCCCTTTCGTAGCTCTATTGGAGCTTTACCGTCTCAATGTTGGTCACCATTCTTTGTGTTGTACACGAGATTTGCTCGATCTGAGGTAGTCCAATTTTGTATCAAGGTCTAATGTGGTCAATTTACTTCGGCATAACCTTGAATGCCCCGAGCACACAGGCAAGAAGATCCCTGAAAGAGACATAGGATGAAGACGAGCATCCTCAGCGCCGATCTCATGCAGGCCCAATGTGAAAAGGTTTACCAAGCGTAATTGTTTCTCGCTGTCCACAACATTTTAGCCACTTTTGTATAAAAACTTGTAAGAACACAAAATGGAAACCGGATAGAAATTATACTCAATATTTTCTCTCTTCTTTCTTTCTTTTCAATGTGCGCTCTTTCAATATATTTGGAGTGCTTTTTATAGGCAAATTCTACCGACACTTTCTACACAATAATTCATATCTCATACCCCTTACTATTCACTTCACTATTTATGAATAGTGGTACATTCCACTTGTTCATAACATTCCCTTTTTGGAATTACCACTATTAAATGTGCGTTTATGCTGCCTCATTAAAAACCTTATCTGGAAAAACCCTGTGGGAAAAATCGAGATAAGGAAAAAAGAGTACAACCGCACATGCTCCCCCTCGAGTTATCATCCGTGCAAATCTCGAAGATGTCTCATTCCAATGTTATGGACATGCTTTCGGAATGTTGTAGTTGGGAGCGCCTTTGTAAATAAGCCTGTTGCGTTATCACTTGATCGGATGTATTGAATCTTGATCTATTTGTTCTTTTCAAGCTCTTGAGTGTATGAGAAGAACTTTGGTGGGATATGTTTAGTTCTGTCACTCTTGATGTATCCTTCTTTGGTTTGAGCGACACATGTTGCATTGTCTTCAAATATCACCGTCGGATCTTTATTATTCGATAATCCACTGGCTTGTTGAATGTGTTGAGTCATGTTTCTGAGCCATATGCTTTCCCTAGTTGCTTCATGCAGTGCAATAATTTCAGCATGGTTTGAAGATGTAGCAACTAGTGTTTGTTTCTGAGAACGCCAAGAAAATGCAGTTCCACCAATCGTGAAAACGTAGCCAGTTTGAGATCTCGCCTTATGTGGGTCTGATAAATATCCTGCATCTGCAAAACCAATCATTTCATGTTTTTTATCATTTGAGTAAAATAATCCCGGATCGATTGTTCCTTGGAGATAACAGAATATATGTTTGATTCCATTCCAATGTCTCCTCGTAGATGACGAGTTATGTCTTGCTAATAAGTTGGTAGCAAAAGATATATCTGGTCTGATGCAATTAGCAAGATACACAAGAGCTCCTATTGCACTCACATATGGTACCTCAGGACCAAGTACATCTTCATTTTCTTCACAAGGTCGAAATGGATCCTTTTCAACATCCAATGTTCAGTTAACCATCGGAGTACTAAGGGGAGTAGCTTTGTCCATATTAAATCGTTTCAGTACTCTTTTAGTATAGTTAGATTGATGACGAATATCCCATTTTGTACTCTCTATATTTCTAAACCAAGACAATATTTGGGTTTTCTGAGATCTTTCATTTCAAATTCGCTTTTCAGAAAAGTGACTGCTTCTCAAATTTCATTTGTTGTCCCAATAATATTAAGATCATCAACATAGACAACAATTTATCGCAACTCCATCATGTGATTTCTTTATAAAGACACACGGACATATTTAATCATTCAAGTATCCCTTTTTTAGTAATTGTTCACTCAAACAATTATACCACATACGCCCAGATTATTTCAAGCCATATAATGATCTTTGCAACTTTAACGCACATAACTCTTTAGGTTTGGAGTTTAGTGCTTCGGGCATTCTGATTCCTTCTGGGATTTTATATGTCGGTGTCTAATGATCCATACAAATAAGCAGTTACAACATCCATGAGACGCATCTCAAGATTTTCATGGATAGCTAAACTCATCAAGTATCTGAAAGTGATTGCATCCATGACAGGAGAATATGTCTCATCATAATCGATCTCAGGCTTTTGGGAGAATCCCTGTGCAACAAGACGAGCTTTATATCTCGTGATCTCATTTTTCTCATTTCTTTTTCTGGTGAAAACCCATTTGTATCTAATAGGTTTTATGCCTTTTGGTATAATCAATATAGGCCCAAAAACTTTTCGATTATTGAGTGAATCTAACTCGGCTTGGATGGCACCTTTCCATTTATCCCAATCATGTCTTTTCTGACATTCAGTTACAGATTTTGGATCAGGATCCTCAACTTCATTATCAATCTCTTTCGATACCATATATGCAAATGCATCATCAATATTTGTGATCTCATCACGCTTCCAAAGATTCCCATTATTTACGTAATTGATGGAAATTTCAATATTTTCATTCTGTCCCAAAATTTTTCCATCATCTTGATTCTTTTTCAAATTCGGGTCACGAATTTCTCTTTTCTTTTGAGGATTCTTATCTTTAGACACAATTGGTCTTCCTCGTTTTAAGCGTGTCTTTGACTCATTTGGCACATCATCATTTGCCATTTCTTTTGGAATCTCAATTCGAGCAGGGGCATTCACAACTGCCACATGTGATTTGGTCACCCTTTTTAAATCAGTAAATGCATCTGGCAATTGATTTGCAATATTCTGCAGATGTATGATCTTTTGAACTTCTTGCTCTCTTTGTTTGGTGGGAGGATCAAGATATGATAGTGATGATGTTCTCCATTCAATATTTCTCTCAATTGATTTTTCATTCCCACCTAAGGGGGAAACAATTCTTCATTAAAATGACAATCATCAAACCTAGCTGTAAAAACATCACTTGTTTTCGGCTCAAGGTATTTGATTATTGATGGAGATTCATATCCAACATATATTCCCAACCTTCTTTGAGGCCCCATTTTTGTACGTTGGGGCGGAGCAATTGGTACATACACTGCACAACCAAAAACTCTTATATTTGCAATATTTGATTCTCGACCATATGCAAACTGTAATGGCGAGTATGTATGGTATGAACTTGGTCTTATTCGAATTAGATCATCTGCATGCAGAATACCATGTCCCCATACTGAAGTGGGGAGTTTTGTCCTCATTATCAATTGTCTAGCTATAAGCTGCAGCCATTTAATCAATGATTCTGCTAGACCATTTTAAGTGTGAACATGTGCCATAGGATGTTCAACATCAATTCCTACTGCCATACAATAATCATTAAATGCTTGAGATGTAAACTCACCAGCATTGTCAAGTCTGACTCTTTTGATAATATAATCTGGGAATTGAGCCCTTAATTTAATAAGTTGGGCGAGTAATTTAGCAAATGCCACATTTCTAGTGGATAACAAACTCACGTGAGACCATCTACTAGAGGCATCAATTAACACCATAAAGTATCTGAATGGACCACAAGGTGGATGAATAGGTCCACATATATCACCATGAATCCGTTCCAAAAATAATGGAGATTCATGTCTGACTTTAGTATGTGATGGTCTCATCAATTTCTCTTGAGAACATGATGCACATGTCAGTTCATGTGTTTGCAATATCCTCTGATTTTTCAATGGATAGCCACTAGAATTTCCAATAATTCTTCGCATCATTATCGAGCCAGGGTGACCAAGTCGATTATGCCAAAGTTTAAACATTTCATTCGACTTTGAATTTGTTGCAGCATAAGCTTCGATTATATTAATCCGGGTGTAATATAAACCCGAGGACAAAGCGGGTAATCTCTCCAAAACACACTTATTTCCCGCAATATTTGAGGTAATGCAAAGATGTTCATCTCCTCCTTTATTCATAGTCTCAACGTGATATCCGTTCATACGTATATCATTAAAGCTCAACAAATTTTTTGTTGATTTTGGGGAGAATAGCACATCATTTACTATAAATTTTGTACCTCACATCATAAAAATATGGCTTTTTTACAACCCTCAATTATCTTTGCGCTTTCGGATATTGTGTTTACTTTTGATTTATTTAACTTCAAGTTAACGAAATATTTTCTGTCCTTGAGTATAGTATGAGTAGTGACACAATCCGCAAGACATATATCTTCATTTTGGATTCGAGACCGATCCATGATCTAAAAGAAAACATTTATTATTGATCAATATTTGAAATACAAATAAAAGTAGTTCACACACCATTATAATAAAACTCAGAAAGCAAAAAAAAAAAAAACATGATCATCAGTTATTTTCTTGGTCATATCCAACTCTGTCTTCAAATGCCGCATCGGCAAAATCCAGTTTCAATATGTCATCGATGCCATAGTCATCATCCACACGTGTTGCATCATTTTCCGAGGATTCCCGAACCATAAATTAGTTTCTATATTCTTATCTTTTGATTTCTGGGAATCTTTATAATTATCAACAACGTGTCTCGGAGCACGACAATTTCGTGCCCAATGTCCCTTTCTTCCACATCGATAACATGCCTTTTCGTCACTATTGTAACACCCCGCTTTTCCATAAATATTAGATCGCAATTCTTTTCTTAATAAAACATA